TTGCCATACACACACACTACACATTGTGTATATAGCACTGTTTGCCATACAAACACACACTACACATTGTACATATAGCACTGTTTGCCATACACACACACTACACATTGTGCATATAGCACTGTTTGCCCTACACACACACACTACACATTGTGTATATAGCACTGTTTGCCATACACACACACACTACACATTGTGCATATAGCACTGTTTGCCATACACACACACACACACTACACATTGTGTATATAGCACTGTTTGCCATACACACACACACACACTACACATTGTGCATATAGCACTGTTTGCCATACAAACACACACTACACATTGTGCATATAGCACTGTTTGCCATACAAACAGACACTACACATTGTGCATATAGCACTGTTTGCCATACACACACACTACACATTGTGCATATAGCACTGTTTGCCCTACACACACACTACACACACACTACACATTGTGTATATAGCACTGTTTGCCATACACACACACTACACATTGTGTATATAGCACTGTTTGCCATACAAACACACACTACACATTGTGCATATAGCACTGTTTGCCATACACACACACTACACATTGTGCATATAGCACTGTTTGCCCTACACACACACTACACATTGTGTATATAGCACTGTTTGCCATACACACACACACACACACACACACTACACATTGTGCATATAGCACTGTTTGCTATACACACACACACTGCACATTGTGCATATAGCACTGTTTGCCATACACACACACACACACACTACACATTGTGTATATAGCACTGTTTGCCATACACACACACACACACTACACATTGTGTATATAGCACTGTTTGCCATACATACACACATACACACTACACATTGTGCATATAGCACTGTTTGCCATACAAACACACACACTACACATTGTGCATATAGCACTGTTTGCCACACACACACACTACACATTGTGCATATAGCACTGTTAGCCCTACAAACACACTACACATTGTGTACATAGCACTGTTTGCCATACACACACACACACACTACACATTGTGCATATAGCACTGTTTGCTATACACACACACACTGCACATTGTGCATATAGCACTGTCTGCCATACACACACACACTACACATTGTGCATATAGCACGGTTTGTCATACACACACACTATACATTGTGTATATAGCACTGTTTGCCATACACACACACACTACACATTGTGCATATAGCACTGTTTGCCATACACACACACACTACACATTGTGTATATAGCACTATTTGCCATACACACACACACTACACATTGTGTATATAGCACTGTTTGCCATACGCACACACACTACACATTGTGTATATAGCACTGTTTGCCATACGCACACACACACACTACACATTATGTATATAGCAGGAAAATGGCATGTGATATTCCATAAAGAGTCAGATTATTTGTTTCGAGATAAACTGAGGGAAATTTGCTGGATGTGCACGTGTCTACCTGGACCCGTCTGTCTCCATCACACTCATACGAGGGATTGCTTGTTAGCGGACGCTGTCAGTTGAATGCAGCCGTTATGGCTTTGAATGGAAGCAGAGGAATCCCATAGAGAGCTCTGACACGTAATGTGAATCGTTTGCTGCCACCTGTGCTGTGCTGAGGATATAACCCAGCACCGTCTGTTCTGTATCCTGCTCCAAATAACCCGCCAAATCCAATCCCTGCAAATGGTCTCCCCCAGCACTCCTCTTGCTTTCACGCCATCCCTCAATCTTGTGTCTCTATGTAAAACCATCAGCACCGTGGCTGGGATCTGGTTCATTCCCCATTATTCATTCCCTTAGAGATGGTCTCTGATTCAGCGAGATTTCAGCCCACCAGCAATGAAAGCTCTAATATTGTAATTGTTGATTCCTGGCTCATCTGACGTGTGTATATATTTTACATGAATCCATGTCTGCGTAAGCATACATGCATTAACCAATACCTTGATAGGACTGTTACTACAGGAGGAGACTTACCTAACCCTGGTCCTGCCTGTGATGAAGCTCTGTATTAGGAAGGTGTTTGTTATAACTGTTTATTCAGTAAAGTTCTAATTGTTGTCACAAAAAAATGAAATAGCAACATTTACACCGAAATAGCAAGTGTTTGACTACAGCATAGCTGGAATCTTGTTACATAAATTCTACAATTCAGTGTTCAGGTCGATGCAATTCGATATTTAGAGGATAAACCCCAAAGTTTCAAAGGGGTTACTGTCAAATTAACTGGGAACATTTCCAGAATCAGAGAACATTTCGAATCTGGTTTAGCTGCTATATTTAGATTAATCCTAACGTGTGTATATGCAAAAGCATCTCTCCTTGGCTGAAGATAATAGGAGTTGCTGATTGGCTGATCTTGTTCACCCCGATAACGGTAGACATTCCTCCATTAGCACACTATATTGGGCTGGCGACAAATGCCCCAGAGACCGCTAATGGAGACAAGAGAATGCGGCTGCAGGGATGATTGTTTTAACCATTCATGTAGCAATGTTACAGACAAAACGAAGACCTAATTCATGCTTAATGAACATGCAGTTGGCTACGAGACACATGAATTCCAATATCGTGAAAAGAATAGATGTGGCTCCGGCCTTTGAAACCCACAGACGTAGTGCACAGTGTGACTACGCACCTGATACCCCAAAATACCTTTAGATATCTGAATCCTATGTCACTCAAAGTAAGCAAAACGCAGAGTACAGCTCAATGACCCCAAAATACATCATCTGCTTTAGACTGTCAGCTCTTGGGAACAGTATTTAAGTTATGTTGTATCTGTTTAGTTTCAGTATTATGTTGATTCACCGTACTGTATCTATTTGATCTTGACACATTAAAGATAAATGTAACATTAATTCTTTATCTATTATAATTGTTATATTAATGTATTTGTTATAAACTGAACATTCAATATTGTCATTCTCCTCTGCATTATCTAAACTGTTCACCAGAACTCTTCATTAACCCTCAATTCTCCACGTTCACAGGTAGAACTTTCAGATGGAACATCACACACAATCACAGACGCCTACGCTGGTAAAGAATACATCATCCAGGTGGCAGCCAAGGACTACGAGATCGGAACGTGGAGTGACTGGAGCGTGGCTGCTCATGCCACCCCGTGGACTGAAGAGCCCAAGTACATCACGACAGAAGCTCAGAAAACAGGTGAGACTGGTGCAGCGTAACCGGGCGCTTTGTTTTGTTATATTGTATAGTAACTAGAGGGAAACTGTGACTTCCCAGTTTTTGTAATTAATTAACCTTTATTTTTGTAAGTGATTAAAAATAAAATGAAATGCTCTATCCGGCAGCTAACTCCCTGACAATCATCGTTAGACAGTGTTGCCATTTTCTGCCATTGACCATAGCTGGTGGGTGAGGAGGAACAATCTATAAAGGATTTGTATCACTAGAAAAGAACATACTAACATTGTGTTTCAAATCCCATCACTCTTGGGCACATGTGTAAATTACAGAATTCAGCCTCAATTTATTCACAGTTACCTGCTCCTTGACCCAAACCGCAGTGTTTTAGAACAAGTACCGTGGCTGGATTCAGCTTAAAGAAACACTATAGTCACCTAAATTACTTTAGCTAAATAAAGCAGTTTTAGTGTATAGATCATTCCCCTGCAATTTCACTGCTCAATTCACTGTCATTTAGGAGTTAAATCACTTTGTTTCTGTTTATGCAGCCCTAGCCACACCTCCCCTGGCTATGATTGACAGAGCCTGCATGAAAAAAAAAACTGGTTTCACTTTCAAACAGATGTAATTTACCTTAAAATAATTGTATCTCAATCTCTAAATTGAACTTTAATCACATACAGGAGGCTCTTGTAGGGTCTAGCAAGCTATTAACATAGCAGAGGATAAGAAAATCTTAATTAATATATATAATAATTAATATTTTTATATATATATATATATAAATATACACACTGTTACACGCACACATATATATATATACACATAATAAATATACACACTGTTACACGCACATACACATATGTATACACACTGTTACACGCACATATATATATATATATACACATAATAAATATACACACTGTTACACGCACACATATATATATATACACATAATAAATATACACTCTGTTACACGCACACATATATATATATACACATAATAAGTATACACACTGTTACACGCACACATATATATACACACATACAGATATATATATATATACACACTATTGCCAGCACATATATATATATATATATATATATATATATATATATACACTGTTATACGCACACATATAAATACACACTGTTACAAGCACGTACATATATATATATATATATATACACTTTTACACGCACTAATATATATATAAACTTTTACACGCACACATGTTTTACCCCACTCCCTCTAGCCTGTAAGCTCATTGAGCAGGGCCCTCAACCCCTCTGTTCCTGTGTGTCCAACTTGTCTGGTTACAACTACATGTCTGTTCGTCCACCCATTATAAAGCGCTGCAGAATTTGACAGCGCTTTATAAATATCATAATAATAATAATAATAATATATACACTATTACGCGCAACACACATATAAATATACACTGTTACACGCACACATATATATATATATATAGTATTACACGCACACACATATATATACTATTACACGCACACATACATATATATATATATATATATATATATATATATATATATACACACTGTTACACGTCCAACAAATCAGTCTGCTCAAAGGCTAGTTAAATGGCCGCAATGCCCCAGTGATCCTTATCCTCTGCTCAGGATGAATGAGCAGATTCTTGGTATGAACAGTGGGATTCTCCAAATGCATGTGCAGGTTAATAGGTAGATTCAAAGTGTGAAAAAGTAGATTCTCTGGTTGAAAAGACACATGCTGTGAATAGGCAGAGTGGAATCTCAGTGTGAATAGGCACATTCTCAGTGTGAATAGGAACATTCTCTGTGTGAATAGGCACATTCACAGTGTGAATAGGGTACATTCTCTGTGTGAATAGGCACATTCACAGTGTGAATAGGCACATTCACAGTGTGAATAGGCACATTCACAGTGTGAATAGGCACATTCACAGTGTGAATAGGTACATTCTCCGTGTGAATAGGTACATTCTCTGTGTGAATAGGCACATTCACAGTGTGAATAGGTACATTCTCTGTGTGAATAGGTACATTCTCTGTGTGAATAGGTACATTCTCTGTGTGAATAGGTACATTCTCAGTGTGAATAGGTACAATCTCTGTGTGAATAGGTACGTTCTCCGTGTGAATAGATACTATCTCAGTGTGAATAGGAACATTCTCCGTATGAATAGGCACATTCTCAGTGTGAATAGGAACATTCTCTGTGTGAATAGGCACATTCACAGTGTGAATAGGTACATTCTCTGTGTGAATAGGCACATTCACAGTGTGAATAGGTACATTCTCTGTGTGAATAGGTACATTCTCTGTGTGAATAGGTACATTCTCAGTGTGAATAGGTACAATCTCTGTGTGAATAGGTACGTTCTCCGTGTGAATAGATACTATCTCAGTGTGAATAGGAACATTCTCCGTATGAATAGGCACATTCTCAGTGTGAATAGGAACATTCTCTGTGTGAATAGGCACATTCACAGTGTGAATAGGTACATTCTCTGTGTGAATAGGCACATTCACAGTGTGAATAGGTACATTCTCTGTGTGAATAGGTACATTCTCCGTGTGAATAGGTACATTCTCTGTGTGAATAGGTACATTCTCCGTGTGAATAGGTACATTCTCTGTGGGAATAGGTACATTCTCAGTGTGAATAGGTACAATCTCTGTGTGAATAGGTACGTTCTCCGTATGAATAGATACAATCTCAGTGTGAAGAGGTACATTGCCTGTATGAATAGGTACATTCTCGGTGTGAATAGGTACATTCTCAGTGTGAATAGGTACATTCTCCATATTAATAGGTAAATTCTCTGTATGAATAGATACAATCTCAGTGTGAATAGGTACATTCTCCGTATGAATAGGTACATTCTCTGTGTGAATAGGTACATTCCTGGTATGAATAGGTAGGTTCTTGGTGGGAAAAGGTACAACTTCGATGTGAATAGGTACATTCTCCGTGTGAATAGGTATAATCTTGGTGTGAATAGGTAGATTCTCGGTTTGAATAGGTACATTCTCCGTGTGAATAGGTACATTCCCGGTATGAATAAGTAGGTTCTCGTGGGAAAAGGTACAATTTCAATGTGAATAGGTACATTCTCCGTGTGAATAGGTAGATTCTCGGTGGGAAAAGGTACAATCTCGGTGTGACTAGGTAAATTTTCAGTGTTAATAGGTACAATCTCGGTGTAAATAGGTACAATCTCAGTGTGAATAGATAGATTCTCTGGGTGAATAGATAGATTCTTGGTGTGAATAGATAGATTCTTGGGGTGAATAGATTGATTCTCTTGGTGAATAGATAGATTCTCGGGGTAAAGGTGCAGATTCTAAAGGTGTGTATCAGATTATCAATGTTACCAGGAGGTATTTTCAGTATAAATAAGAATGAAAGAATATGAAGGTGTTCCTGGAACGGGAAGGCTATGTACAGACCCTCCGTAGTACCAGTTATTGGGAATTATAGGAAGAATCTGGTAATGGTGGGTTTCTCGTACCCTATAGGTATCGACAGATTGTTGGTCTCCAAAGTTTACTTTTATAATAGAGCCCTGACCTCCCCCCTGCCTCACTGCCATTACTGATCTCCTGGCTTCCTGCTGTACACATGTAACAAGCCATATATCATCATTATCATCAGCCTGCCCAGTAATTGACTCAAGGGCCATTGGGGAAAATTGTGCTGTTCAGAGCAGAATGTGAATTACAGTCTTTCCAACGTTAATAAGTGGATTTACATCATGAATTATGCTTTCTACAATGTGTTTTGTAAGTTTTCAAACCTAAATGACTGTATCTGGAGCACTGAGTCTGTGTTTAAATGAAGACTGATGGGGCATGTTCTGCAAATTGTAGCATGCAATGCATTTATCCCATAACGCGTTTTTTGGCCTCTGTTGCTCGATTACTTGGGCCTGGAACTGAATCAAGGTTAACCTGTTTATTGCCAGCCCACACCTACTAAAACAGTAAATTATACTGCTTCCCATTATTAGGGATGCGCAGCACACCCCTCTCTGCCTTCTGTCTGAATCACTAATACTTGGCTTCTCATTAACATACCTACTAAGTGTCCTTATTTAGGAAGGACAGTCCGTATTTTGGACCCAAATTCCTCTTTTCTGTCCTAATGTCCCTAATTTCTAGGAGCTCCATATTGTTGGTGTGTCTGAGTGTATAACAGAGCTCCACAGCAATAATACTCCTAGTAATGTGTCTGAGTGTATAACAGAGCTCCACAGCAATAATACTCCCAGTAATGTGTCTGAGTGTATAACAGAGCTCCACAGCAATAATACTCCCAGTAATGTGTCTGAGTGTATAACAGAGCTCCCAGCAATAATACTCCCAGTAATGTGTCTGAGTGTATAACAGAGCTCCACAGCAATAATACTCCCAGTAATGTGTCTGAGTGTATAACAGAGCTCCACAGCAATAATACTCCCAGTAATGTGTCTGAGTGTATAACAGAGTTTCACAGCAATAATACTCCCAGTAATGTGTCTGAGTGTATAACAGAGCTCCACAGCAATAATACTCCCAGTAATGTGTCTGTGTATAACAGAGCTCCACAGTAATAATACTCCC